TTTTTTTTAGTTGATTTTTTTTTTTTTTTTTTTTTTTTTTAGTGATAGTGATATTTTCAGACAAGCCTTGCTAGGTGAGAAAATTTTTTTCAAATTTTAGAAGCCCATGAAATTAGAAATCCGAGATAAGCACCCGTAAGTATAGTTAGGAGAATGATGACATAGTTTAAAAATTAGGAATTATAAAAGAGAGGTTCTACGTTACTTGTCATATATGAAATAATATAATATTTCCTGCCTTGCGGTTTCTACCAGAATAAAAGGAATTATGAAAAGAAAACTAATTACAAAACATGGATAATTATAATAAATAATAATAAAAAAGAAAAAAAAAAAACTTAAAAAAAATATATTACAATTAAAATGAAGCTTGTTAAATGTGGTAATTTCGACAATAAAAGATTTCCTAAATCCTGATCCCATGTTTTTTTTCTCTCACTTTTTTTTTTTTTTTTTTTTTTTTTTTTTTTTAGAAAAAACAAGATTCTTAGATACATATCGTAATGCTCTCGTCATTGATCAACCCATTATGCTAACGCAGTTTGTCATCTCGACACGATGATGATGATGTTGATGATGGTAGGGATTGCCGCCCATAATGCTGGAATCCACTCGACCACCACTTCTCATGTGACGATGACATTGCTGGGCTACGGACATCAAACGATTTTCACCATTCATCTGATGATTTGGAGGCGGCGGAAGGGTCGATGGTGTCAGGGTGTGAATCGGTGGTAGCATGACTCCTTGCCGCTCTGGGATCACAGATCTGACGGGTGGCAACATGGAGTTCGGTAGCGGAAGATTTTCGTAGGTGGGTGAATAGGTCGGGGTCGCCGCGGCCGTTGAAGGTGGTGGTGGTATTGTTGTTATCGGCGACGGCGGTGACAGCGAGGCTATGGCGGAATCGCAAGCGGTCGTCGTTACGGCAGCACTACGCCTGACACGTTTGGTCGGCGGTTCGTCAAGCGTCAACATATCGGAGACCCGGTGAGGTTGATGTGATGAAAACGGAGGTGACGTCTGAATTCCGGACTTGGATCCACGTCGGCTTTTAGATGACAAATGTGTACGATAATGTTGCATCATGTTGTCCTGCCTGGAGAATTTTGATGTGCAGCCCTGCATTAAACATCGAAAATTCTTTTCGCCGGTGTGTATCCGGTTATGACGTGCCAAATGACCACTAAATTAAGAGAGTGCATATATGCAAAATATCATTAATAATCTCTTACGTAAATTAGAAAATAATACAGAATCGCTGACTTAATGACATTTGAAAAAAAAAGGGAGGAAAATAGACCAATCAAGGAAGATCCGTCGTAAATTAAGAAAAGGAAGACAAGTAATCAAATAGATACACAAAGAACATGTTTGCTCCAAGGAAACACCAAACAAATGACAAAGGTGTAACGGGAGGAAATAAAAGTCAACCGATCGGCCATAAATAATAATAGTAACAATGAAATAGTAATCACAAATAATAATTCTAATAAGGATGATAGCAATCGTGAAATGGTGATAACAATTGAAGTGTTCTGGTTAATTAATTACCTTGTAGTAAAACTTTTGCCACAGTCAGGATGCGCGCAAATGTACTTTCGTTTGTTTGGAGCACTGGCGGTGGTGTTGGTGCTGCCATTTGGTGGAGCAGCGTTTGAGGACGCACGCTGCTGCCTTTGCGGCTGTACGTTGATGATCAGTCCATCATCGGAACATCCACAACTAGAGATAGATGATTTGCGTCCGGAGGATATTCCTCGTGACATCAAATCGTCATCAGAGTAGTACACGGCGGAGGATGACAAATCGTTTTCGTCGTCGTCCTCGTTCAGCAGACTAACCATGGCACCATCGGACTTCTTTACCAACAGTGAAGAACTACTTCGTCGTTCCATCGAACAAAGCTGGCGAGGAGGGGTCAAAGGAGGAGTGGGACCCGGCACCCTTGGTCGTCCGCATTTCTCCTGAGGTCGAGGGATCATCTGACGACAGGGAGCTTTCTGATGATGAGACATCGGTGAGGACGGGGCCAATTCGTGCGATTGAAGGGGCGGCGAGGTGAAGACCGACGACGACGACGACGACGATGGTGGTGGTGATGGTAGCTGTTCGTGATGTCCATTGATGTAAAGTGGTTGAGACAGAGACGACGAATAAATCGAGCGTTCGTCTCCTTGCCCGGAAGAAAAGCGCAACCTCGAGTTAGGAGCGGAGTGAAGGGGATCATTTTCACGAGGTGAATATTGAGCAAGCGGCGGTGAGCATTGTTGTTGCTGGTGCACTTGATGCGGTCGCGGGGAGTTTTGTTGAAATTCCATTGATGAACGGTACGGTTGTTTGCGTCGTTGCTGTTGTTGATGCAACGATGTGAGATCCAAGAAGGAGACGGTGGGACGCTTGTATTCATGTTGCGCTCGATGATGATAGTAGGTCGGAGTTTCCGCCGAAGGAGGAAAAGAATTGTATCGTTCCATCACAGCGAAAAAGCTGAATAGAAAAAAAAAAAAAAAGGTGATTACAACAATTGTGATGACGATTACTATGATTAAAGGATATTTAATATTTTGTCGTTCGTCAGCAGTGATTAATTATCTGAGGACGATGAAGAAAAGAAAAAAGAAAAGAGAAAAGAAAAAGAAAAAAAGCAAAGGAAAATAAGAAGGTGACCTCTATTTATACATTAATTAAATTCAGATACAGTTATACAAACGCTTATATATATGTGTATATATATGTATACATATGTATTGTAGCACCGAACATTAAAGTAGTAACATGAAAAATCTCCGAGGGAAAAAATCATATGAACACCACATACCTTGCAAAGGGATCGTCGGGAATTCTCGAGTTTCTTTTTTCAAAAAAGAAAAAGTGTGGCAAAGTATAAAAAAAAAAAAAAAAAAAAAAAAAAATTTTTTTTTTTTCTTAATATTATGAGACGACCGATGATTTCGTGACCTTAGTATAAACAAATTGGGAGGATGAACCCTTTTTTAAAATTACAAGGTTTGTTTGAGGGAGGAGAGAGATGGAGGGAGGAAGCGATGAAAAAAAAAATTATATATATATATTTTTTTTTTTTTTGAATGCAATTAAACGATATTTCAAGTGATTTCGGGGATGATGAATTAACTATTGATGGAAAAAGCTAAATTGAAAAAAAAAAAGGAGTATAACAGTTTTTTAATGTCAACGTCAGTAACCCCGAATTACCGAATGTTTAAGATGAAAAAAGATGAAGGTGATGGCGAGGTGTGTTGCGATGATGATAGAGTGCGTTTGACCCCCGGACAAACAGAAAAATGAAATAATCAGCTATTGTTCTTTCAGATGAATGGATTTTGTATAAACAATTGTATTGTATATAATACGTATATATATATATATATATATATATTACAAATATATATTATACATACATACACGCGCGTATATTTAAGATGAATAGATAATAGATCAGGGAGAATCAGTGGTGATTGGAATCAAGGATCTTCGAATGATAACGAAAGAATGTAATAATAATGATTGGGGAAGTTGGAGGCAAAGCGAGGATGAAAATAGAAACTTAAAAATGTAATTATTACTAAATGGAGAATAAGGAAAAGGTTTGCCAAGTATCGTTACAAGATTTTTCCCTCACACTTGAAAAAAAAAAAGAGATGTGTAGGGCAGACGTGGTTTTAAAAATCGATCGATGACGAAAATAGCGGTAAGTTATTGAAAAATGTTGTGAAAATGTTGAAAAAAAATTTTTTTTTTTTTTTTCTCTCAAATCTTTCGGGTGTTGAGTGTTGAAGCTCTTTTATTTATAAAAAAAAAATTTTTTTATTTTTATTGTATCTATTATCAAAGTAGAGATTTGTTATTTGCGTGAAAATCATACATTAATTATATGTTTTAAAGAAAGATGTGAGGATTCCTCAGAGAGTATGCCTAATCGGGGATTTTTAAATTAACACGTATATATACAGCACATTAGAATCATTAAAATTTATTAGAATTACAAGGGATTGCAACATAATTTAATGTAATCGCACATAGTATGAAAAAAGCTATCATTTCATATCGATGTGTATGTATATTGCATATGTTACATACATATATTTATTATTTATTTATTTATTTATTATAGTTTAATGTTTGCGAACTATTCTTCACACATGCATACACACACACACATATATATATATGTATGTGTATTGTATATTATACGTTTTTTATTCTATTTTCTGTTAGAGCAGGACGTGCGCATTGCCTATCGTAGGTGACACCTCAGAAATAACGTTCATACAAGACGCACAAGACGCCTACCAATAATTAATACGAATATCACGACATCTGATTTCAATAATAGTAATAGTAAAAATAATAAAAATAATAATAATAATAATAATAATAATAATAATAATAATAATAATAGTAATAATGATCATAGTAATAATGATCATAATGTTACCTCTTTCTAAATTATATTAGAAATTGACTTTTTGTAATAACTCTTTGGATGTTACTGTAAAATAAATATACACGTCACTCCGCAAAAATTTTTATTCCCGACTCAGACAAGCCTTTCAGTCTCCGCCGATTGTGTGTGATGATGGGTGTCGGCGAAGTAGCATTTTAAAGCAAACAAATAAATAAATAAATAAATAACTAAATATACAGTATATTAACACGAATGTTAAACAAGACATGGCAAAGTGTAACGGGAGGTGTCGAGTTATTGCTCACACCGTTCAATTCACTCATTCCCTCGATCCAAGTTTCACCTCTTACGGAGTCCATTTTTCTCACACGAAACGTAAGCACATCTTCCTATAATAAAACATCATTGTAAATTTTCCATTATGTAGAGGGTGAAACCAGAAAGACGAATGAAAGGACGTAATAATGAAAAAAGAGTACAAGCCAATGATTCTTACTATCACAGTTCCTTTAATTGCTTAATCAATTACCTTATCGTGATTTCATTCATTCCTAAAATTTTTTAAGAAATGATTGATATATGTGATCAGAAAAGAGTTGGGTGATGATGATAAGATTAATAAGCCATCGGTTCTTTTTTTTGACATGCAGCAGTTTATGACTTTGGAGATTGTATGCTATGTGAACGCGATTTCCTGATACGTGTTTGCATCCAGACGAGTTTACCTACAAATTTTACATGTAACCAAATTTTAAGCTAACCGAAATTTGTAATTTCGGATATGCGAGTATCAAATAACCCATACATTATGCATGCCTGAAGGTGAGAAACCAAAAGAGGTTGAAAGACGACCGTAAAGGAAAAAAAAAAAAAAAAAAAAGGGTCAGTGCGTTTGTCAGTTTATTCGGTACCTTCAGACCCTTTCTTTTTTTTTTTTTTTTAATGAAAAAAAAAAAACATGCGCATGCCCGATAAACGCGCACGTACGTATTCTCATGACGGTGGTGTGGTAATCAGTTTGAGATAGTGCGTTGTCGCTCGTTACGATTGATACGTGCTGCGGGGGAAAGGTAATAACATGACTGGATTCTTCCACGTATCAGATGCACATAATCTCTCATTCACTCATTTAACCACTGCATAACTCGTCCACCTATAATTTCATTGGACGCATTTAAGCTCAGACACCACATTTAAAACCACGAAAATCGAATTTCTACGTCAGACCTATTACTATTATAATCGGTTGACGGGCGCACGGGTGCTGTGCAGGGGTTCCATGGAAAAGGAAATCGGCATGATTTTTTGGATTTTGAAGGGGGTGGAGATGCGGCTGTGCCGTGTGAAAGAGATGTCTATCAAAAAAATATCCTTTATGAACCACAGCCACGTGACACAAGTTGGTTGGATATTTCGGGTATTCTTCCATCTTGGCATATGCTTAACTCAGATTCGGATCTGGTTTATGATTTATCGGTTCGTTGCCTCCCCATCTACCGCATATGCACGCACGTCACATACATGGGTCGGATTTTTTTTTTTTTTTTTTTTTATCCGTCACCTCCGTCACTTCCGCCACCCCCCTCTCCCACTCCCTCCCCCCCGCACTCACGGATATTGAATGCTAGCTACCCTATTTACTAAGCTTATTTCGCATTAGTAATTGATTCGTAAATTCGATCAACGTAATAATCAATCGGCAATTAAAAAAATTTTTTTTTTTTTTTTTTTTTTTGAATTCTTCTTCAATCGATTAGTCTGATCTCGATCAAGAGTTGAAAAACCAATGAGATGCCAGGCGATTCGAAAAAATTGATAAAATCTCCAAAACTCTCTCTCACCTCCGAAAAGAACCCAAAAAAGGAAATCCCAAAGTTTTGACCGGTGCCAAGAAAGAAGTTTCCTTCTGAAACCGGACCACCACTGTTGAACCCGTGAAACCAACCGTAATTTAAAGAGCCCATGATGAAAACCAGTTTATCTTGTATTCTCGGTGTAATGTAATACGTAATTTTTCCGTGCTCCGTGCATCGCCCGTTTACCATATATGTCTTTATTTGTTTTGGGAAAAAAGATCGAAAAGGTTTGAAGTTCTGAGAAATATGCTAAAATGGTAGGATGGGCGAGTCTTTATTTATCAATTGTACCAAACAATAGGTGGACGAATGCTCTTCCTTTCTCATTTCCACAATAGTAAGCTATCATCAATTAGTCCATCGCACACATTCGATTAAAGTGTATAAGGTTATAGTGTTATCGATGATGCGAACAATACTCTTTACACAAACAAGAGGTGACAATTAAAAAAGACCAATGATCACTCGATGATACGCCGCACACACCGCGTATACTACTTACTGTATATGCGTGTTCACGTAAAACAGAATCTCGCGGTCAACAGGCTGGCCGGTGATACATCGATCATCGATCACCTAATTTTATGAATGCGAGTGGGGGGGAGAGGGGAATTCGGTTCCGAAATGTAATAATCTCACGCTAGCTTAATTCAGCATCAAGGCAAATCAAAAACCCTGGGAGTCGATCCGTGATTATGAAAATTTTCATTTGATCATTGTGAAGATTGAGAGGATTGCTCGTAGATTCCCCCATGCTCGCTGTGGGATGTATTTCGTTTCGTATTACATAATGTTTTCACACCTGAATTGCTCTTCCTGCTCGGTTTTCCCCTCTTTTTCTTTTGGCATTTCCCCCGAATCATCATGCTCCGCGCAACTGCGCTAACGAAATATGGTAGCTTTGGCATTCTTTCTTTTTTTTTCTTTTTCGGTTGATCCCCTACGTGTTCATCACATAACATTCATTCTCTTTGTTCGACTTGCGTTCGTGGATCTCGTTTCAACACGAGGTTTTCATGATCAAACCTCTTTTTCGCTTCGTCTCGCGTGCATACACGTTCGGCCACGAGAGAGCTTCTCAATCCGGGC